GAAAATAGTGACCACTATCAGGGTTTTGCTTTATGTCAACCTAAACAACTAGGATGGTTACATAGGAAGTGACGAGAGATAGCCTGATACTCAGGACCTTGTCAAAGCATCCCCAGGATCAGTGAGTAAATCTCTGATACACTGAGGACAAAGGCTACTCTGTCCACTCTGTGCCACATGGAAACCTGAATTTGGAATGTGTCTGGGTAAGTGTAATCATTAAACCAATACACACAAAGAGAGCAGACCACATAGAGAAAACAGGAGAAAACAATAACTGTCCTCAAAGGGAACGTGAAGACTGAAATCCCAAGTCCCCTGGATTCAGTTAGGCTAAGTAAAAGAGCAAACTAATGCAAACACTCGGAAAATGAGTTTAGTGACCAAAAGAATCAGAAAGGAATAATTACATGTTTAAAACCTCTCAAAAGTTAAGGAAATTAACAGTATTTTACCAAACAAATTTATAAACAAAAACAGATTTGCATCAAGAAGGAAATTAAATTAAAGAGAATCATTTATTTATCAAGTATTTATTGAACATTACTCTGTACCAGGCCCTATTATAGGTGCTAGAAAAAAACATGAACAAAACACAGAAGTCACTACTGACTTGTAGTGAGGAAGAAAATCAAGAGTGAAGTAAAAGAAAGAGAGGGAGAGGTGCAGGGAAAGAAAGACATTAAGAACAAACATTTCATGTAGTAATATGAACTAGAAAAGGAAATCAGGCACAAAATAAAAAAGAAATGAGAGATGGGTAAATCATATTTATTAGAAAAGGTGGTAAGAAAAGATCTTTTTTGCTGAATGGGAAGTAACCAGAATAAAGAAAAAAGACATTCAAATAAAAATCTGGAGTAGGAAAACATGAACATTGAAACTGAACTTTTCAAAAGCAAAAAATCTACAGTATATTAATACTGTTTTAAAATATACTGTAGACCACTATACAGAAAGCTAAAAGGATGAGAAATATGTAAGAGAAATTTTAAAACATGAAAGATAGATAAAGAGGTTTTGGTATTTGCTTCATAAGAATTTCCAAAGCAGATAATGAGAAAATGAAAGAAACAACATTCAAAAGAGTTTTTTAATGAGATTTCTGTACAATTTATAAGAACTGGCTAGCCATATGCAGAAAGCAGAAACTGGACCCCTTCCTGACACCTTACACTAAAATTAACTCCAGATGGATTAAAGACTTAAACATAAGACCTGGCACCATAAAAACCCTAGAAGGAAATCTAGGCAAAACTATCCAGGACATAGGAGTAGGCAAGGACTTCATGAACAAAACACCAAGAGCATTGGCAACAAAAGCCAAAATAGACAAATGGGACCTAATGAAACTCCACAGCTTCTGCACGGCAAAAGAAACAGTCACTAGAGTGGATCGGTAACCAACAGAATGGGAAAAAATTTTCGCAGTCTACCCATCTGACAAAGGGCTGATATCCAGAATTTACAAACAACTCAAGCAGATTTACAGGAAAAAAACAAACAAGCCCATTCAAAAGTGGGCAAAGGATATGAACAGATACTTTACGAAAGAAGACATATATGAGGCCAACAATCATATGAAAAAATGCTCATCGTCACTGGTCATCAGAGAGATGCAAATCAAAACCACATTGAGATACCATCTCACGCCAGTTAGAATGGCGATCATTAAAAAATCTGGAGACAACAGATGCTGGAGAGGATGTGGAGAAAAAGGAACACTTTTACACTGTTGGTGGGAGTGTAAATTAGTTCAACCATTGTGGAAGACAGTGTGGCGATTCCTCAAGGCCTTAGAAATAGAAATTCCATTTGACCCAGCAATCCCATTACTGGGTATATATCCAAAAGACTATAAATCGTTCTACTATAAGGACACATGTACACGAATGTTCATTGCAGCACTGTTTACAATAGCAAAGACCTGGAATCAACCCAAATGCCCATTGATAATAGACTGGATTGGAAAAATGTGGCACATATACACCATGGAATATTATGCAGCAATCAGAAATGATGAGTTCGTGTCGTTTGTAGGGACATGGATGAATCTGGAAAACATCATCCTCAGCAAACTGACACAAGAACAGAAAATGAAACACCGCATATTCTCACTCATAGGTGGGTGATGAAAAATGAGAACACATGGACACAGAAAGGGGAGTACTAAACACTGGGGTCTATTGGGGGGAAAAGGGGAGGGCCAGTGGGAGGGGGAGGTGGGGAGGGATAGCCTGGGGAGAAATGCCAAATGTGGGTGAAGGGGAGAAGAAAAGCAAAGCACACTGCCATGTGTGTACCTACGCAACTGTCTTGCATGCTCTGCTCATGTACCCCAAAACCTATAATCCAATAAAAAATTTAAAAAAAAAAAAAATTTATAAGAATCATGATTTTCAGATTCAAAAGACATTAAATATTAAAAAGGATAAATTCAAATAAATCTACAGTAAATATATAGTAATAAAAATGAAGAACATAAAAATGTAATGTTCTAAAGCAAAAAAAAAAAAAAAAAATTACCAGCAAATGGCAACTGAGTGTCTTGTTATGAAGACAAGCAGATGTTTTATAACTGATAATAAATGCCAGATGAAAGTGGAATAATAGAATGAACGTGCTTGGGGAAGATAACTGTCAATCTAGAATTATACATCAAGGCAAACAACCATTTAATTGCAAGGCCAAAATAAAAACTTTAGAATTAAAACACTAATTTGAACTTACAGATTTTTTAACTAAAAGAATGAGTATGAAAAATAAATAGTAAGAAACAAATAGAGAAGCTCTTTAAAAATAATTTTTCTAACCTAAAAGTTTACACATAAATACTATGCACAATGGTGATATGACAGTTTCAATGAGAGTTAGTATATGCTAAGGTAGAGAAGGGTATTTACTATACAGTTTTAGATATTGTAAAACATAGGGTCAATGTCTTATAAAAAGAATAAAGTTGAATTTGAAAATATGTAATCAATTTTTGAAACATCATTTAATAGATTACTTTAAACCTTCTGAATTATAATACTGATATAGTAGGTTTGATGAAACAATTTCATTTACTTTTTCCTATTTGCCAGGAATCTTCTTTTTATTTCTTTCTGTTATCTATCAGATTGAAAAAAAAATTAAATTTTTCTCCTATATATTTTCCCCTCTATTGGTTTGGAAACTTTTTCTGGATTCACTTGGTTTAGTGTCTCTTTTATTTTCCCAAACACTTACATACTCACATAAGGAGGCTAAAAATTAAGTGATTGTTTACCATTTGCTTTCTCTTAAAGAAACAGGTAGCTTGAAAAAAGAAAAAAAAATAGCTAAAAATGCAACATACAAGGTAAAATTTGATTTTTTTTAAATTAAGAATTCAGTTCAGTAGAAGTCACAGAAGCCTGGAATTTGAACAGTACACTCTGGAGCTAGCAGATGCACTGAGAACCAGTGATTCATGGTGATCCAGAGTCTTGAGATTTATCAGTACAGGAGAGAAGGCATCAGGCATCGCCAAGGTGGTGGGTAAGTTGGAACAGATATGAGATTTGGGTGGGGAAACAAAGCCAAACCATATCAGATACCAAAAGCACAGGCAACAAAGCTAAAAATAGATAAATTTGATACATCAAGATTTTAAAAATATGTATGTGTTAAAGTACTATACACTATGAGCACACTGAAAGAGAAGCTCACTTAATGGTAAAACATATTTGTAAATCATATGTTTTATTAGGAATTAATATCCAGAAGGTAAAAATGACTTCTGCAACTTAATGACAAAATTCAAACAACTCAACAGAAAAAAATAGGCAATGAATTTAAGCAGACATTTCTCCAAAGGCAATTTACAAATGTCCAGTAAGCACATGAAAAGAAACTCAACATGAGTAATCACTTGTGAAAGACAATAAAACCACAGTAGGTTTACACTGACACATATGAAGACGACTACTACCAACAAAGAGATAGAACAATCATTGGTGAGAATGTAAACTTGGAATCCTTATACATTGCTGGTGTGAATGTAAAAAGGTACAGCCACTGTGGAAAACATAATTTTTTTCTCAAAATATTAAACATATAATTTTATATAATCCAGCAATTTCATCCCTGAGTATGCACCCAAAATAATTGAAAGAAGGGGCTTGGACAGACTTGGATTGTTTTGAAAATTTGTACACAAATTTTTGTAGCAGTATTATTCACAATAGCCAAAAGGTGGAAACAATCCGATGTCCATTGATTGATGGATAGCTAAGCAAAATGTACTATGTTTGTATGTATGTGTGCTTTTGTGTATGTGTTATAAACAGATTGCATATGTATATATATACAACATCATATTATTCATCCTTAAATAAAGGACATATGCTACAAAACGGATGAACCTTGAAGAAAATATGCTAAGCGAAAGCCAGAAGCAAAGGAAAAAATAGTTTGATTCCACTTACATAAAGTATCTTGTTAAATGCATAGAAATAAAATAGAATGAAGGTTTCTAGGAACTGGAGGGAGTGGAGAGTGAGAAGTTATTAAGAGGTACAAAGTTTCAGTTTGGAAACTGGAGTTGGATGATGGAGATGGTTGCATAGCAATGTGGTTTTACTTAATGTCACTCAAATGTACATTTGAAAATGGTTAAAATAATCACTTTTGTTATGTGTATTTTACTACAATAAAAAGTGATTGTTGGAGTATTTTTTAATGCATGCATGTTGTTCAAGAAAATGTTAGTTATATGAGAACACATACATGATGAAAGGAAATAATAAAATCTTATTTACTTTGTGTATAAAGTACAAATCAATTAGATGATTGTCAAAATAGGTTTTCTCCCTACTAGACAAATAGGGAAACCCTTCACTTTGTTTCACAGATTACCTGGGAGGTGGGTTAGAACATGATTGAGTTCTGACAAATAGAAAGTGTGGATGTGCCATGTGGCTACACTCCAGCTTTTGTTTATAAGATCCAAGCTATCACATTCTCCTTCCTCTTACCTAGTTTTGGCTGGATACTCCTGCCCAGGATGACCCTGTAAGCCAGATGCTGAAGACATCAGAGTTTCTTCCATCCTGGGCCCTTGAACCATCTGGAAGACAGACCAAGAATTTCCTCAGCCTATGGCTCTAGGAAGTAAGTTAGAAAACGAACGTTGAGAGTATGTGAGCTACTTGTAGGGCTAAAAATAGATGACAAAAGGGCAAGAATCAGCTAACTTGGAAGCAAAAATGAAAATGCTATAAAGGGTTAGAAAAGATTTTCCTAGATCTAAGGGATAGAAGCAAAGGCCTTTGGCCTATTAAAGTTCAAAGATTCAGCCCTACAGAAAAGATCTGATTATGGGTATGTCTTCTCCTTTCAAATCTGATGGCCTAAAGGTAGTTGACATTAAATTGAAAGGCAAGTAAGTGAGTGTATAAATTACAATTTTGTCTAAAAAATATTTTGATGTGGTTACCAAAACATGAAAGCAACTAGATTAGACATCTAGTAAGGTTTTGTTTCATATTTCCATCCAAGTTTTAGTTTTTGGCTTTTGAAGTAATAATGTCTACATTTTATTGTTTATTTGAATAAATCAGTAATTTGTCAAAAATGTAGTTTCTTTGCCCTAATTACAAGGAATTTTAATTCACTAAGTCTGAAATGTATCTCAAGATTCTACTTTGTTTTGGTATTTTCACATCTGAAATAGGTATGTATTAAATGTCGTGTTATCTTTGGTCACTTTGATTGAGGTTATCTTTGATCACGTTGATTAAAATTGGGTCTGCAGATTATATGTACTGCTTCCTCTTTGAAATTAGTAAGTATATTGTGGAAAGACGATACTATATAAACATCCTGCTTCTCATAAATCTTTTATCTACTAGTTTAATAGCCATTGGTAATTCTTGCCTTAAATAGTTATTACTATGGAGATTTACAAATAGTGATTTTCTAATTCCATTACTACTTCTACATTTATTAGTTTGCATTATACGCTAAGAGAGAACTGTTTGCTTTTTTCTGTTAGTGTATGTATTTATTTATATCAATATAAACTTACGTACTCTTATTTGATTCTAAGATTTATAATCCATTTACAAAATTACTTATTTTAATGGTTGAATTGGATCAGATACGACCACTAAGAATCCCAAATGATTCTCATGTTCTTTTCTGCAAGGCCTATTATCAAATTAGTGTAATCCTACTTTCTGTCACAAGATGTTTGAGGCTTATCCTGTACTTCGCTTGCTTAATTTTTGTAATCACCAGGGTCCCAGGGGTTTGGAACTGTTAAAATCCATATGATGGCTGAGGATCAGCTATAAGGAGACATAAAGGATAATCTGGAAGTTGCTGGGCACAAGATGATGGGCTCTATGTCAGGAAAAGAAGAAACTGGTCCAGTATCAAGCCATTTGTGAAAAACAACCTTGGTTCTTCGAAACAAAGAATGGCATTTAGAAACCAGGATCTGGTATTTTGGTGTGCTTATTGTTACTGGAATAATATTGCTTCTGGAAAATGCATTGAGGGCATCTGTTAATCCAGTCATAAGTTTTGGCCAGATTTATAAATTAAAAAAGAAAAAGTGTGTTCCCATTCCATTTTCTAGTTGTGAGAGTAAGCATTCTGTTATATGTTTATGAGAAATCATTTTTACTTTTTTGAATTGTAACCATTTGCCCATTTTTCTTTTTATTTTGTAATTTTAACTTTTATTTTAGATTCAGGTGTACATACATAGGTGTGTTACACAGTATATTGAATTATACTGAAGTTTGGGGTGCATATATGATCCCATCACCCAAGTAGTGAGCATAGTACTCAATAGATAGTTTTTTAGCCCCCTACCTCATTTTTTTTCCTCCCCTCTCTAGTATTCTCTATGGTCTATTATTGCCATCTTTATGTCCATGTAAACCCAATGTGGGGGTTCAATCAGGCTGGTGGGAGAAATTTTAGTTATCGAGAATACACACAAACACTTTTGGAAAGCCTGAGGGTTTTTAATATACTACTTGGCGGAAGGCAGCCTTGTCTCCTTAGTTAAATAAATTAGAGTAGAAACTAAGGAATGTGGGGAGTTTATCTAACTAACTTGTTTACTCATGTGGTCTCAAGGCTAACCTTTGTTCTACTGCAGGTGCTTAAAACTGCCTCCTACTTGGGGGTTGGCAGAAGTTTATTACTCATAAATGGTATTTGCTTTAGACTTCGAAACCTGGCCTTTAATCTTTATCCTCTAGTGGTGTTAACTCAAAGCTTTTGTCATTTAATGTGTGCTAAATAAAGGCTGGGAAGGCCAGGAAGTCAGGACCAGCTGCTGTTAACTCCTTTGGGTGAGTAGCCTGGACACTGCAGTCCACTCTTCCATTGATTCTGTGTTTGAGTGAATTTATTCATCTGTCATTGAGTCAGGGTCTGTAGGACAGATCCCCACAGGTGGGGACCCCAGTGTGACTCCAGTGTGAAGGGAGCATGGCAGAACCCCAAAAACAAAGGACCCCACAGTCAAGTCAGTAAAACAGTGAGTCATTAAGTCATTGGTACCTGCTTGGGATTACCAAGTTTGGGGGCAATTGTACAGTCTGAGGTTTCTTCATGGGACAACATTTATCAGCTCAACAGAAACAGTATATAAAAATATTGAAACAGCTGCTTAAGGCTACTGAAACCTCAATTTCACAGGCTCAATTAAAAAATTTAACACAAATTGTTGCTTCACATAATCCATGTTTCCCAGAAGGCACACTAGACATAGGGCTCTGGGAACAAGTGGGAAGAACCCTCAAGCAAAAACCCATGCACAAGGGCAATGGGTCCCAGCATCATATTTAACACTATGGCCTTCATAAAGAGAGATTTAGTCCCATTATACACAGAAGAGCCTAGAAAGGGGAAGGAGGAGGAAACATCACCTGCCTTATTGCCTCCTTTTCCTTCAGCCCTGCTATCACTGGGCCAAAATAACAAAGAGGAAACAGAGGTTTTGCCTGAACCCTCTCCTCCAATAAGCAGGAAAAAAAAAAGACAAGAAGCATACATCAGCTACGGGACCTTATCTTAAGCAAGTAGTATTAGAAGGGGATCTCTTAGCCTGTCCAGTAGTGCAAGCTTAACAGGCAATCAGGTACATAAAAAGATAAGGAAAAGCATTAGAGCCTGAAGCCACGTGGCCAAACGATCGGTGGGTGGAAGGAAAAGCTTGACAGCAAGAAAGCTTGCAAACCCAGAGCTAGCAAATGCTTCTGGGAACTTGACTTGCACAGTAGTGAAGGCAACAGGGAGCCAGGCCCAGAGTGCTGGAGCTAGCCTGCTAGGGAGGGGCAAGAGGTCTGTGTGGGAAGATCTGCCCAGCCAGCAGCAGCTGCCTGGTGGCAGGGCATGGCAGGGGTGGGGGGAGAAGAGTGGCAGAAGCAAAAAGTGGCTGCTATTTTGGAACTCACCCAGCTGCTCTCTGGCTCTGCAAGTGACCCATGGCAAAATTTTGTATGTTCCTTGTATAGAAGCAGCATATCAGATTATAGTTCTCTCTGCTAAGATTTAAGTAAAATATAAGAATTTGTAAGATCTTTTCTGCTAGTGGCCTCTGTTGATATTTCAACCCTACCCCTGATATAGCACTCTCAAAATCCTACTGAAGTAAAACAGTAACCTCTGAAGGGAGAGAAATTACAAAGGGCTTATGAATTAAAGAGTAATTAAAGGCTGGGCATGTCAAATTATCTAATAGCTCTTGGAATTCACCAATTTTTATCATTCCCAAAATGTCTAGGAAATGGGGAGTTTTGCGTGACTTATGTGCTGTAAATGCTAAATTGCAGGCTATTGGGATCTCTGCAACTGGGGCTTCCCTCTACTGTGGGACTTCTCAAGATTGGCCTATCATCATTATTGACTTAAAAGATTGTTTTTATACTATTTCAGTTCTGCTAAGAACCAGTGGAAAATTTGAGTTTACATTGCCAGCTATTAATAATGAAGGACCAGTTCGTCGATTTCATTATAAAGTGTTGCCTCAAGGAATGCTAAACAGTCCTACTATGTGTCAGTATTGTGTAGATCAAGCTTTACTCCCCAGTAGACACTAATTTCCCAATTGCCAGATTATTGATTTTATGGATGATGTTTTACTGGCAGCCCCAGCAGAGCCAGTACTTTAAAAATCTATATAAATCTGTCATAAAGAATACACAGTTAAGAGGTTTACTCATAGCATCTGAAAAAGTGCAAATGCTCTCTCCTGGATATGTCTTGGATATATATTTACAATATGCTCAGAAAACAAAAAAGGGAGAGCGTGAGTAAAGTTCCTGCAATACTATTAGCAAAAGCGATGTTTACCCTTAATTTTCTAGATTAAGAGGACAAGTTTTAATCAGCTGCAGAAAAGTACTTTGCTAAAACCTCTCAAGACAGAAACAGAAAGATTGGAGAGATAAATAGAAGGAAATAATGAGTAAGAGAGAGACAAGAAGAGACAGAGATCAGGGATAGACACTGGAATTAAGACTAAGGAAAGAGATACTGTAAAAAGAAGGCGGGGAGAGAGAGAAAGAAAGAGGCAGGAAGGCAAAGAGACAAGGAGAGGTAAAGAAAGAAAGGTAAGGAGAAAAAGAAAGTTAAGGCATGTTGAAGATTGTAAAAGTCATGAAAAACATTATAGGAAGGAATTTATGCAAGAAATGTATGATCTTGTTTGAAGGTCTAAGTAAGTTATAAAATGTTAATTATAAAATAAATACTGTGTGTAAACATATGCCTAAAGTTAAAGAAGCATCATTCAATTTCTCTGTAAATTAGGCTTTAAAATAAAGCACCACAGGTTTTTCTTCAAGCACTTACATGCTCTTTAACAAAGATTATAAAAGGTCTCCTAGCACAGGCACCACCCCTAGAACTTCCAGTACACCAGCACCATCCTGGAGATGATTTCCTCACCAAAGGATGAGAAGAAAAAACTTGAGCCAGACTAGGAAAGATTCTGCAGAATCCACAACCCCAGATAATGCAGCTTCCTTGGACTACATATGCCCCGGACATTACCTGGGGCATGCTAAAAATGACAAGTCAGGAGACTGAATGAATCCTACTTTG